GCGGCGCCTGCCGGAGGCTGGAAGGAGGTGTCAGGAGACCTCTCTGTAGCTTCCCTGTGTCCTACGCTCTGTCCTCAAGCACCCGCTGATGGATACGGTGAGCAATAGGATACTGGGATGGATGGACCTCTGGTCTGAACCCTGCGGGACTCTCCTGTGGATGTTCTAAGAAGACAAAATGGAAACCTTCTCGGGCGAGGGGTGCAGCACCTGGGCTGGACCTTCCATGGCTCCAGCTCACGAGAGCACATTGATCCTGCAGAGTGAGGGGAATTCAGCAACCGGATGTATCGCTGACCATTTTGTGGATAAACAGTTATCTGTGTTTTCTGAGGGCATGCTACTGTAGTTCTGGGCAATACTGTGGGAATTAAGAAAATATACCAATATTCCACACACAGACTTAGTCTAGTTCTTGTTAATGAGGTTGATAACTGGGGAAAAAATAAAAAGGCTGTCTGTTTCAGGAAATATAAATGACTTCGAGTGGATTTATGCATCTATATACCACAGCCAAAATAAAGGGATATAAAAAAGCAGTCGTTTTCCTTTCCATTTCTCCCTGCACACAGAGAGTGTAAGAGCTCTTCTGTTTTGTAAAAAAGTAATGCTCATGATTCAGGGGGGGTAGTTGCAAAAAGCAGAATGTAACTGAAATTAAATAGGACTGGTGCTGTTATCCATGCTATGGGCAAATATGGCCACGTCTTTTGCTCAGGCCGATTTTTATTAATGGCCTGACTGTTTTAGGACAGGCATTTCTGTCCTCTGAAAGATCAATGTCCCTTTCAAAGACAGAGACTGAGGTGCAGGTTCCCCAGTGCTGCTGACCTTGCTCTTGTGGGCCCTCAGCAGTTACCTCTCTAAAGCAGCACAGAGCGGTCACCCAGAGAGGACTCTCATCGCTGACTACACCACCCCCCACAACACTAATGCAATCAGTAATCCGTCTACTTTTTAGATGGTGTTTTTCACCAGCCTGGATGCTTGCGTGACCTCTGCATTTCTGAGCAAGCACTGAAATACAGCTTCTAGCCCCTAACAGTGTTGTTACCCCATCCTCATGAGAGGAGTAGAGCTACATCCTTGAGAGAGCAAGCCGAGTTCCCCTCCAGAGTAAATGCTTTGAGTTAGTGGACACACGGTATACATGGCCACAAGGTATAGGTGCCTACCCCCTTGTTCAGCTGGGATGTAGGGCAAGTGCAGCTGCCCCATCAGCCGAACACCTCCCACCACCCTCCCCTGCCCCGCAGCCTTGTGCCCTGTGCCAGTGGAGCGGAAGCTCAGCCTCTGCAGGGCCAGCCTGTGGGTGCCCGTGTCCTCCCCCCCCTCCCCCCCGGCGGCGCCTGCCGGAGGCTGGAAGGAGGTGTCAGGAGACCTCTCTGTAGCTTCCCTGTGTCCTACGCTCTGTCCTCAAGCACCCGCTGATGGATACGGTGAGCAATAGGATACTGGGATGGATGGACCTCTGGTCTGAACCCTGCGGGACTCTCCTGTGGATGTTCTAAGAAGACAAAATGGAAACCTTCTCGGGCGAGGGGTGCAGCACCTGGGCTGGACCTTCCATGGCTCCAGCTCACGAGAGCACATTGATCCTGCAGAGTGAGGGGAATTCAGCAACCGGATGTATCGCTGACCATTTTGTGGATAAACAGTTATCTGTGTTTTCTGAGGGCATGCTACTGTAGTTCTGGGCAATACTGTGGGAATTAAGAAAATATACCAATATTCCACACACAGACTTAGTCTAGTTCTTGTTAATGAGGTTGATAACTGGGGAAAAAATAAAAAGGCTGTCTGTTTCAGGAAATATAAATGACTTCGAGTGGATTTATGCATCTATATACCACAGCCAAAATAAAGGGATATAAAAAAGCAGTCGTTTTCCTTTCCATTTCTCCCTGCACACAGAGAGTGTAAGAGCTCTTCTGTTTTGTAAAAAAGTAATGCTCATGATTCAGGGGGGGTAGTTGCAAAAAGCAGAATGTAACTGAAATTAAATAGGACTGGTGCTGTTATCCATGCTATGGGCAAATATGGCCACGTCTTTTGCTCAGGCCGATTTTTATTAATGGCCTGACTGTTTTAGGACAGGCATTTCTGTCCTCTGAAAGATCAATGTCCCTTTCAAAGACAGAGACTGAGGTGCAGGTTCCCCAGTGCTGCTGACCTTGCTCTTGTGGGCCCTCAGCAGTTACCTCTCTAAAGCAGCACAGAGCGGTCACCCAGAGAGGACTCTCATCGCTGACTACACCACCCCCCACAACACTAATGCAATCAGTAATCCGTCTACTTTTTAGATGGTGTTTTTCACCAGCCTGGATGCTTGCGTGACCTCTGCATTTCTGAGCAAGCACTGAAATACAGCTTCTAGCCCCTAACAGTGTTGTTACCCCATCCTCATGAGAGGAGTAGAGCTACATCCTTGAGAGAGCAAGCCGAGTTCCCCTCCAGAGTAAATGCTTTGAGTTAGTGGACACACGGTATACATGGCCACAAGGTATGGGTGCCTACCCCCTTGTTCAGCTGGGATGTAGGGCAAGTGCAGCTGCCCCATCAGCCGAACACCTCCCACCACCCTCCCCTGCCCCGCAGCCTTGTGCCCTGTGCCAGTGCCCTCACCACCGCCAGTTTTTCATGAGCATATCACCTTTGCGGGGCATAGGGGGGCACAGAGAAGCCCCCCCTGCCTCTCCCTGCTGTCCCCCGGCTGGCTGAGCTGGTGCCGTTCCACTTCCCACCAGGACCGAAGCCCTGTCCAGTCCTGTTGGGTTGTGTTCTCACTGTGCTGGCAGAGAAAGAGCAGCAGGAGCTGTGTCCTCCTGCAGTCACAGCTCCCTGCCAGCTTGTCTCCTCTGGGACACCTCTTAACAAATGCACCCATGGGGGATGCCGTCAGGGGAGCATGAGACTGCAGAGCTGGTTTTCCTGCTCCTGTTTGGGAAAAACCACTCCTTGCTGCAGGTGCCAGGGACGTACCTCAGAAGAAGGGACTCCGGCTGGGAGACACACTCAATTTAAGAAGTGAGGAGTCGCTGGGTGCCTGGTACCACTGTGTCCCCTTTTGATCAGCAGGTCTTCTCCCAGGTGGTGCCCAGCCCTGGCTGCTGGGTGGGTGCACCAGGCTGGGTGTAGAAGGAGCTCAAGAGGAGGCGGGGAAGGCAAGACCAAGGGGAGGACTTTTCTCAGGGGGTTTGGAGCATGAGACCTCTGGAGAGGCTCAACGCCCAAGGTGCAAAAGCATCCAGCACTGGCCTGATGCTGACCTTACCGGGGCAGTGGGCACTTTCCTGTCGATGTCAGTGGCTCAGAGCGATGCCAGCATTGCCCACGTATAGACATCTTACCTGTGGGGTCTGAGCAAGAAGGAAAACCCCAGGGCAAAAGTAGCCATAAGGAGGTAATGAAAGGAAGTGTAGATGCCTTTGGGTGGATTTATGCGTTTATGTATGGTGGCCAATGGACAGGGATTCACAGACGTGGTGTTTTTTCTTTCAGTTTTCTTCCTATAGAGGGAGACTATGAGAGCTTTTCTGTTATGTAAACAAGTAGCGCTCGTCATTTAGGGGGAGTAGGTGCAGGAAGCAGAATGTGAATGCAATGAAATAGACTGGACACATCAAAATCAAGGCATTTAATAAAATAAACCATCTTTTTTTCTTCCCTAAAAGTTGCATTAAAAAGAGGTAAATATACATTGGTTCAAAACCAGGAGAAAGCTCCTTGTTCTGGGGGTAATTTTTCAAAGCGACAAAGCCAACTAGACAAAGGTATTTGGGGGATTGGACTGGATAGGCCAGGCAAGCTTTTTTTCCTTTGCTTCCCTGTTAAAAGCATCATAGATTGAGTCTTTGGTGACAGTTTTGGCTGGAGCTGGGATTTCTGCGATCCCAACGTGGTTTTTTTTGGCTATCCGGGAACTGGTGGTGATGGTGTATGCATTGCTTCTGTAGCATTTCATGGCAGACATGCAAAAAGTCTCTTTCATCCCTCTCCTGAAGTTTGCATTATACACGGAGTAGAGAGTTGGCTTAGAGGCTGAAGAACTGAAAGAGATCCAGGTGATGGCCAGGAAAACCAGGGAGCTCTTTCTGTAGTCTGTTTCTGGTGGGTGCCACAGCTGTACCACGTAGAAAGGGAGCCAGGACAGGAGAAACACTGAGTTTAACATTAGGAACATCTTGATGGTTTTCACTTTGGCTCTTGGGACAATGTTCATTGTCCTCCTGACAGTCCTGCCATCGGTGCCTATTCTCCAAATGTACTTGATGACCTTCTGGTAGAAGAGCATAATGAGGATGGATGGGATCAAAAACACCACCAGGAGGTGGATGATACTGTAGGTGGCTCCTTCCCAAGAATCAGGGAGAAAAAAATTGCAGTGGTCATCACTGTTGGAGCCATAGAAAAAGAAAGCGGGTGATGCAAATACAGCGTCACACAGCCAAGAGGCCATAATCATTTTCTTGGCTTTCTCTCTCGACACTTTGAAGCTCAGGGGGTAGACAATAGTGTAGAATCGATCCACGCATATAGAGAGGAGCACATATATCTGGACTCCAGGGGTGAGGTACTGTATGTACCTTACCAGCTTGCACATGATGTTCCCCAGAGTCCACCTGCCATAGGTAAACTGGAGCAGCACAAAGGGCACACTTGCAACACTGATGAGAAGGTCTGCACAAGCCATGGCGACAACAAAATAGTTGGTGGTGGATTGTGTTCTCCGGCTCCTGTGGATCACTAAGCAAACAAGGGAGTTTCCAAAGATGGAAACCAGCCATAACGCTCCCAAAACCATACTGGCTGCTGCGATTTCCCCCGGCCTCAGGTCATACAGCAAGACAGTGTGGTTTCTGCTTGAACTGGGTCCTGTGGGTGATGCCGCCATCTTGTAGCCAGCAGGAGGGGTGGAAGTTTCAGGGTAGCTCTTGTTCTGCAGCAGGAGCAATAAGGTAGGGAGAACAAAAGGACCACTGCTGTTATCCATGCTGTGGGCAAACATGGCCACGTCTTTTGCTCAGGCTGTGTAGAGAGAAAAGAGAAAAGGCTGCATTTCATAAATATGGGTGAAAGAGCTACCTTAAGCAATGAAAGGTATGTTTAAGTAGTACGTGGACTACTCTAAAGCAGTAGAGTTCAGAAAACTGGTCAGAAATACACAGTGAGACTCTCTAGTAGAGCAGAGGCCATTAAGTTTCATGCCGATTTTTATTAAAGGCCTGACTGTTTTGAGACAGGCATTTCCGTCCTCTGAAAGATCAATGCCCCTTTCACGGAGGGAGACTGAGGTGCAGGTTCCCCAGTGCTGGTGACCTGCAAACTGAGTGAGTGGAACATGCCCCATTGATCCTGGAAATCAGCTGTACTTCACGGTGTCTATGGAAGTGACAAAAAACCTAGGCCAACAAAGTCCCTGCACCTTTGACTTGACATAGCCATCAAGTAGATAGGCAAAGGAGGTGTTCCTTATACTGAGAGATGGAACGGGAAATAATATTTTCCATGATAGTAACACCTTCATTGGTAAGGACACTAGCAGCCCAGCCCTGCTCCCACCCAATCTTTAGTAACATTGGTGTTTGTATCCCTAATATCCCTGAGTCTTTTTGCTTCTGGATGTAACTTTGGAAGGTAAACGAGGTCTGGATTTGAAGGCAAAGGAAAGATCAGCACAGTGGCAGGGCTGGCAGCAAGCAGCCTGGGCGCTTCTCACTGTGAATGCTCCTCAGCCCTTCCATGGTGAGGAAATTGTCATCAAGAGATGGACATTGTACAGACCTTAAAGAGTCTGTCTTGAACATGGATGCTGTCCTGCATGCCCTTGCCTTGCTAGTTACCTCTCCCATCAAGGGCAGGATTTCCTTCTGTCACTTGGAGAGCAAGGTGTGGCACAACAACCTCCCCCCAAAACCTGCAGCAGTCTTTTTCATCAAGGGCAGGATTTTGACACGGAGGGAAAACTCTGGGGGAGGAGGTAAATGCCCTGAGGCAGCTGAGACGTAGGGGGACCCTTTTGATTTCCAGGAGTGGAGCCTCGGGTTGTGTCGGTTGACCTGTGCCTAGGTACGACTGCAGTCAGCTGTGGAGGATGTCTGTGCTCTGGAGAAAACCCCGGGAGAGTGTCAATGACCTTACCTTGGTCAAGGACCTCCCAAGCAGCAAGTCTGACTCTTCACAGATCCCCCTGTCGAGCCTGGCTGCCGAGCAGAGCCCGTCCTCCACTGACCTGAAGTGCTGCAGAAGTCTGTGGGTGACCCAAGGGGCAACGGACAGGTTGCCATGGGCGACTGACACCAACACACAACAGGGAACCTCTGCCCACAGCCGTATCACGGGGAGGCCCTTGCTCAGCTCTGGGAAGGGACTTGGTCACTTTGTCTTGCCCTTGGGATGTGCCAAATTTCGGAGCTCAGGAGTGCTCTGTTGACATGACCGGTGGGTTTGCAGGGGTGTGGGGGTTGCCAGATGAGCCCCACCCGTGTTGTCCTTAAGGGTGAATGGCTCATCTTACAGTGGCCCCCTTTCTCCTTTTTCCATTCCAGTAGGTCTCTTCCTTCGCTTGCCAGAGCCTTGCAGTCCTCCCTCCTTCTTGCTGTCCCCTGGGCAGGCATTGCCTTGCCTGGGCACTGATAACATAGCCTTCGCAGCCCTGAGGCTGGGTAGTGAACATCACCCAGTCGGTCAGCAGGAGGCAACCAAAGAGATTGAAACTGGGTTTGAAGGGGATTACGGCTCTGTCAGCTGCCAAACAGCTCACTAGTACAGATGGGGAGCATTTGCACTTGGGGGCCCTCAGCGGTTAACTCTCTAAAGCAGCACAGAGCGGTCACCCAGAGAGGACTCTCATCGCTGACTACACCACCCCCCACAACACTAATGCAATCAGTAATCCGTCTACTTTTTAGACGGTGTTTTTCACCAGCCTGGATGCTTGGGTGACCTCTGCATTTCCAAGCAAGCACTGAAATACAGTTTCTGGGATCAAACTGCAGCTGGTCCTTTGTGGCAGGTATGGTACACACTACAGTATGGGATATTTATGAGCTCCTGTTTCAAGAAGTGAGGCAAGAATAGTTGGTTATATTGCTAGACAGTTTCTAAACTTGGATTTAGCCAGATAATTGGGTTGGTCCTAGAGTATCACAGGGATAAAATGGAAAATACTTAATATTAGTGCCTATGGGTTTGCAAACACTGTGCTTGGGGCTGATACTTCAAAATGTCCTTTCTATCATGGTGTTGACATGCAAAGCCTCTTATTAGAAATAGCAAGTCTGTTTCTGTGGGTTTATTATATGAATGTTTTACTCCAAAGTCTTGATTCTGTGCAAGGTAAATCAGGATTCAATTAATGACCAGAAGATCAAAAAGTTCAGCCCATAACCCAAATGGACAAATTCAAAAAGCCATCACCATGCTCTTCAGCTTTCCAAGTGATCCAAATTCCCAGCTTTGCTCTCTGAGGTCTTATTCAGTGTTTTGCTGATGCTTTTTGCTCTGCCTACTCTAGCTCTGCATCTATCACCAATTACTTTCTCCTTGTTTGCCTACTCAGAGGGGAGCCTGAAAGTGCAAAGCCACTGGATGAATTTGGGATCTTGCTCCTTGCACTGTTTTGCTTGTCATCTTCAATTATGCAATGCAAAAAAAAATAGTCAGATGTGGAAGAGGAAAAGATGTATTAATTGCTTGATATGATTAGAGAAGATTTTTTTTTCCCCTAGCTTTTTAGACCCTGTATTCATCAGCTGCGCTTAACATACACTTGCGTGTTTCACACGTACAGGCTCGATGTACAATCAGCTGCACAGCACAGGCATAAATTTAGCGTGCTTGAAAACGCAGGGCGTGCTTGCGAGGAGTGCGGCACAGCTGCGCGGACACAGCCAGCCTGCCCAGTCGCAGCCCGGCTACCGCAGGGACCCCGCTGGGCCTCTCCTCCACGCCTCGCACCCTGCCCGGCCGCTGACTCGGCACCATCGGAAAGTGGGTCACCAACGCGTGAGTCACCAGCGCTGCGCCCAAAGCAGCCAGCCTTATTTAGCAGCTTTTGCATGCAGGGAGCTGAAAACACGACTCACGTTGGGCTCGCAGCTGAAGCAGTTTGAGGCTAGTAACAACTGGAGTTGTTTCAGTGGGGCGTGTTAAATGGGGGATTTTGCATGGCACCGTCCTGTCCAAGTAACACTTGGAGGCATCGGTAGTGAGACCCAGAAGTGGGCATCATGGTGGTTGAGCCGCCAACCACCCGCAAGGGTCACTGTCTGCAGATGGCACCCTGCCCCTCGTCCCTTCTTCTGCTGGAGGGCTGTGCAGCACTGCCCAGCCTGGCCTTCGCTTCCCCCTCATCATTAGGTGCCCTCCTCGTTGTTTTCTTGGTGGCTTTGCCAGGCAGATGATCCCTGGTTTCTCAAAAACCTTCTGTTTACCTTTTCCCACGCTCTGTCGGGTAGATCTGCTCCCCCAGGGATATCCTGCCTCCATCAGCTGTCTGCAGGGCATTTGGGCTGCTCTGTCTGGCAGAGTGGCAGGATGCATTGACAGTACAACCCGCTAAATTTTGTGTTAGAATTATTTGTAATAGAATAATACATGTGGAGCCTATTAGCCAGATAGATAGAAAAGAAGATTATGGGCTAATTTTCTTCCTTGATTTCCCTTCTTGCCATGCAGAAGTACATGCCATTCAAAAATAGCCAGCTGCACAAATTAAGCTCAGTAGAAGAATAACCTCATGAAACTTCTTGAAGAGTAGTGGAAGTCAGGTACAAGAATGAAACAACCTTCCTAAGCCTTTAAAATATGCAGGCTTGCTAACACTGTTCTCACGATATTTCTCCTGGTGAGCCAAATCTGCTGTCCATGTCTTTTCAGACCCGAGACATTTAGTTATGCAGGTGGGTAAACCCCCAAATAGTTACAGGGTTGTAGTACTCAAATAGTACCTTTTTTTTTGCTGTGTTTTGCCTAGAAGTCAGCCCAGCCACTGTTCACTGGAGAATGCAGGTAGCCTGCAAACACAGAATCACAGAATCACTGAGGTTGGAAAAGACCCTTAAGATCATCGAGTCCAACCATAAACCTAACACTGTCGATTCCACCACTAAACCATGTCCCTAAGTGCCCTGTCCATGTCTACATGTCTTTTAAATACCTCCAGGGATGGTAAAATGGAAGAGGTACCAAACACAGGTGCAAGTAATACTGTATTTTGTGATTCCTTTTTCACTGGAAATAATCCAAAGCCATTCAGCACACTGCCCACAAGATCCAGGTGAAAATGTAAGTGCAATAATAGGGACTCTAACTACCCTGAGCATAGGATTGCTCTGGCTGAACAGCAATTACCTGGTTTATTTTTTTAAAAAGTAAATGCTATCTGATTAACCAATGTGCTCTGAGATTCCTGCATTCCTAGTCATGGATATTTTTCCCTTCTAATGGACCAGAAGCTGATCTCTTTTTATATTAAAGGATCTCTGTTCAACCCCATTTTTTCTAGGTGGCACTGAGATCAGAATCATGCCTCGCTTTAGCGCTCAGAACCTTAGTGTCTGTGGCCCAGCGTATCTTCTCCTTCCGTGGGCAAGTTGGCTTTTTATAGCGGAGACTTAGACTTCTGCATTATGAGTAATGCTCCCAATGGCAACATGAGCGTGAAAAGCTCGGCGTGCTCACTGCTCCGTATGGGTTTAGGATGCAAATAACCACAGAGTCTGTATCTTGCTACATTAGGAATCTCCAATTCCCATGTGCCCGTTTGCTGCACCGTTTGCTGAAATGTGGTTTAAGTGTTAGGAAACTGCTCGACTTGCAAATATCAGATCCATTAGAAAACAGTGATGAGCTCTTTAGCCTCCCTCTTCTGTGCTGATCAATAAGCAGGTATTAGAAATACAAGAAGTAAAAATTACATATAGCAAATACATGATGACATTTTTATTTAACAAAAATGCTTTTGTTTGATTTTCCCTTTAAACCTCTATAACACTGAGCTGACTG